ATTAAAGCCCATGCGAATAAGAGAACCCAGCCTCGGGCTGCAGGTGGAGGGAACTAGGCTTACAACCAGACTCTGCCCCTTCCTGACTCGGGGACCTTTGTCAGTGTCACCTCTCCCAGCCTCTACTTACTCATCCATCAAACGGGGTTGGAGGTACCTGCTTCACAGGGGCGTGTGGTGTGAGAATCACATGAGTGGCAGCTCCTGTGAAACCCTTTGTGGTGTAGAGCCCTCTACAGCCAGTCACTGCCACTGGCTGCTCCCCGTCTCTCACCCTCCCTGAGGCTGGGCAGGTCCCCGGCTGAGGACTACCCACCCGGGAAGACACACAGAGCCATTTGTTTTCTCTCAAACCAGGGGGCGGGGGCTCTCTCTTACCTGTGACCGAGGGGCCCCAGGGGTAGCAGGGATGCGGAGGAGCAAGGCCGGGCTCGGGAAGCCCCACGAAGTTGGGGGCAGCGGATGCGGGCCCAGCGGTCGGAGCCCTGTGTCCGATGACAGACGGTCGGGATGAGGGTAAGGACAGTGTGCCACCCTCTGTCCGATGTGCCACTGTCCAGAGCAGAACCCTCCCCGACTGTCTGGCAAACCCAGAGGCCCCGCCGCGGCTTTTATACCTTCCCACTGGTCAGCTACTGTCACGAGGCCCAAAACAGCCGTCAGGGAGGCTCTCAGGAAAACAGCTTGGGGGCCGGCCTGGCCCAGCGCCCACCAGGAGCAAGTGTTTGTGCTGTGGGAGGCGCTGGAAGTGTTTACTCTGCAGGGCAGGGGCGGGGCGGGCACCGCTGCCGGTCACCTCGGCCCAGGCCGGGAGAGGCTGCCCTAGGGCTGCTACCACCACCTGGCAGTAGGCCTGCTGCCTAAGCCTGAGCCAAGGTGACAGTGCCCTCCCTGGCCTGGGACCAAGGCAGCGCCCAGGGTCCTGGTTTTAGCCCAGATGTAATACTTTCCAGTGGTGACATGGGGCTGCGACCCGGCACGGTGCGGTGGAGGGCGCCCTATACTGCGCTGATGTTGGTGCGGCCGCGGCTCCCAGACCGAGTTTCC